CTGTTGATGCAGCACAGTGAACTGTATCAGGAAAAAGAAAAACAATAATCAAAGGTTTTCTTCAGCTAAATCAGTTTTCCCACAGGAGGTTGGGACTGAGGACTATTTAGTCCAGAATGTTTTGTTTTTTTTTAAGAGCCCCAATGCTGAACCTCTACACTAGTCTGCACCTTGACATGTATTTACATCATTTTCTATGGTTGCAGTCAAATTTCTTTTAGCATACTTGAAAATTTGCACATTTCAGTTTTATCTGAAACTGGTTATTCCATCTACGCACAATAATTACTTATCTTTTGCTATGTGACTCATTTTGATGAGTTTTGTTATGTCAGGCACTCACTACTGTGTGTTTGCATAGCTGTTACCAGGATCAGAGCTAACCTATCAATCACTTGGCATCACAAAGACAGCTTACAACTTACTCTTTACTTTGCTTTAAAAAAGCAAAGGCAAAACAAACGTTGTGGTGCACCCTCTAATACATCTTTGAATAGTGTGAACACTGCAAATTCACTATATCTGGAAGATTGCTTAGAAAATTTTGTCTGCTACATCCTAAGGAAAATATTGTGTGCACATACTTTAACTTGCATGCAAACCCACAAAGGCAATCGGTAGGGTCAGAATATTTTACAACCACTAGCTTTACTTTAGAAAATAGCAGTGAAAACTTGTTTCAGATAAATATATAGTTATCTTCTCATAAAGAAATGAAGATAAAAAGATTTTGGGGCCTCCACTTATTTTAGAATCCTTTCATGTACATCTACAGCCTGGTTTCCAATGACTGCAGGCCCTTTCAATTCAAGCACAACCATAACCACAGGCTCTCAGGGCTCTTCAGTCATCCTGGTCACTGAAAATTGGAGAACACAGGTTTTAGACCTCACGTCTTGATTAAGGAATTGTAAGGGGGCACAGCAAAGGCAACGCACGCTGCTTGATTTCATCCGGCATTATCTAATATTTAAACCAGTCCCTTATTACTGCGTTCACACAACTATCTGGAATCAATGTTGGCAGTTCATACTGAGACTCTAAAACAGAAATATAGCTAAAAAAGAACACATTCCTACTACATAAACAGCCCATAAAGATGAAATCCATTACATTACCAGTGTCCAAATGCAGACCTTGAAGGATATGCCAGCTAGTGGATGGTTAAGAATTTCAGCAGATTGGGCCAGGCTCCAAAATCCTCAAACTAGTTGGTAATTAACAGACATCTAGGTCCTCCACATGAAAGAAGGCTATTGTTTAAATGGTGACACAATTTTTTCCTTTCCGTTTCATAGCCAGTCTCTGTGTTTTAAGATTCCCTTAGGACAGTAACAGTCTATGATTTGAGAAGTTCCACTTTTCAAATAGACAGTTTTTCTGACTTTTAATCGTCAAGAATGAGAATATCCTTAGAACACAGGTAGAACAAAATAATTTTACAGGCTTGGTGGCTTCTCTGAGACTCTACTCTGACTTTTCTTTGGTTAAATAGTTGGAAAAATTAATATCCAGATAACCTAATAATATGTAAAACCTAAGGTATCTACAAAAGCAACAGGTACAAAACGTAGCCCTATGTGCCTGTAAACAGTCTGCAATAAGTCCAATTAGTAAGCAAAGTACTTGCAAAGAATATTAGTATACATCTCCATAAATAATGATGTGTTACAGCCAGACTTCTAGGATTAGCTGAAGGATGCTCCACTGAACATGTTTTGTGAAGAAGCAATGATCCGCATAAAATTATGATCTGCTCTGTGATTCGTTATCTTTGCCAAAATGGATTAGATGGGTAAAAAATAAAGGACCACACATAATCCAGATTTAAACTAATCGATGTAGTAGAAGAGAATGCTATGTTAAAGTTACATTTTGAAAGAATGAGGTGTGGTTATCTATAGTTATCTATAAGGGAGCAAGTTAAATCACAAAGGATAACAGGAGGATGTAGCAGAGGAGCAGGTAATAACACTCAACTGATACGAAAATACTTTAAGAAAAGCATCATGAAAACAGAGACAATCCAGATGGAAAAGGCCAAAAAAAGTAAATGAGAATTATGAAACATAAAACCATCCCTGAAGAACTGGAAGAAATGGTTCATTTTGGGCCAACTTCATCTCCTCCCATTCAAGGAGCCCTTTATGGTCTGCCTGCCTATGCAATCACTCATCTTACTTCCCTAAATATGTCAAGAACTACGTAACACAGAAGTGAAATTAAGCAGCTCAACAAATTATACCATTCACTTGCGGAGTCAACCCTTTCATTATCATCTTAACAAAAGCGTTAAGAAGCGCACAAGCACATGGAACAGGCTGTCCTCACCTTTACATGCAGTTAGTCCGTCCAGGTGGAGGCTGTAAAAGCTGGTGGCAGAGTCCCCAGAAGCTTATGCTGCTGCTAGAGGAGTGCTGTGGGCAAGTCTCCAGGATGTCAGATCAGCATCACTTGTGAGCTTCTGCCACCTAAAAAGTTTGGGAAGAACTGAGCTTACCTGCTCAGCAGTAGGATTTGCTGCTGTGTTGTAGAATTAACTTACAGCCCTAGATGAAAGAGAAAATGAGGGAATTCAGATTACTTCACAAAATTGCCTCCTTATAGTCTTAAAGCCAGGCATATTTCTATTGCCTTTTGCATCGACTAAGATGCATATTGTGTGACTAATTTCTCATTTGTCTGAGAAGTATGCAGTCGTGCTTCTGACTTCTGTCACTCCCAATTGCCTAGTTAAAAGCTTTTGAGTGCTGCTAGCGCTTTATAGGGAGTAACACCGATAACAGCATCGTATCTTCACACATAACTGACAGGTATTGGGCAAAAGAGCCCATCGTGGCAGATGGAATAACCTCTAGCAGATTGCTCAGAGCAAAGGGAATGCTTTTCTTAGCATTGTGTTATAACTCCATTGAGTTATTTTACTTGCTTCCAACTAAAATTATGCCCAGATTTCTAATACTTGCATTTCAATGAGTGATATCTGAATAAACCCTTGAGCTTATCTGCTGCTGGTGACTGTGAAGCATATGGCAACTATGTCATCATAAAAAAAACATTAACTTCCTAAGCACATCAGGCAAGCAGACATATATAGTCCTGCTAGCCAAGCACAAATATGATTATTTAATAACACTCATTGTTTATGAGATTGCTGTACCATCCCCATTTTGCTGATTAATGCTCACCACAGTTTCAAAACATGTATACAAACATTAGAGGCCATTTCGGAGACACTTATGTAAGGAAGGAAAACTTTATGAGGAAATCATCTTTTAAAATAACTTGTCATTAACACAACTGCTATGACGCTTGGCTTCATATTCTCTGCATTTGTTGTATTCCTCACATACAATTCGTAATGCCGCAAGTGTTTCGTAACATTCAGTAGTCACTCGGCCATGTATGTGCATCAATAATTCAGTAAAATAAAATTAATCTGCAATCATCAGCTTGTAAGGCAGTATACCCCAGGAGCAAGGAAAGCCTTTGCTAAATTTTAGAACAAACTATTACAGGGCAGAAATCTCTCTTTTCAAAATGTCTACAACTATTTTTATTTGGAGATCCATCAGCACACTAGCAATGCTGAGCCACCCTGTTCCCAAAAAATGTTTTTGTTAGTTGTCTCATTTCTCTCTGCAGAGCTACACAGCACTCATGGGCTCATCGGGGAACTTCAAACACAGCCACAGATGCAGGCATGCCTGTGTAAACATTTAAGAGGTTTTACAGAAGTACAAAGCAGATGCTGAACATCAAAATCTTCTGGAGGATCCCGAATCTTAACTAGAGCGCCAAGTCACATAAACAGAGCATTCCGCACAGACAACTTAGGTTTCTATTCTCTACCCCAATACTTTTAATAATATCCACGGGACTGGATGTACTTTGACAGGGATTTGAACATGATAAGTTCAGTTCTGTAATTTAAAAGTGGTGACCAGAAAAAAAAAAGGTAAGAAAAAGTGGTGGTGGCCTTTCACTAGCACATGTTCAGCACTTAAACAACAAAAATAAATAAAAGAACCACAACCACAGCTCTTAAAAAATAAAAAATATGGAATGAAAAAGAAAGAAATGGATAATTATAGCCTCTGTAAAAATAAAAACAAACTTGCATTGCCACAATGCAAATACATTCAGGGCAACGCAAGCTTCTGAATTTGGTTGCTCTGCATCAAAACGGTATCGATGAGGAAACAGCAACAACCAACAATGGCAAACAACAGGGGCCAGCAGTAAAATAACGCAGTCATTAACCAAATCTCTTAATTTATTATCTGGGCTGGAAGTAAAAGCTCAACACCCCCCCCCCCGCCCCCCATAGGCACCCTGCACATCCCGGGCAAGCCACGCCCACACCCAAGATGGCGGCCGCACCTCCCGCCTCTACCCCCCTCTTTCCGCCCTCTCCTGTAGCGCGGTCCCCATTGGCCGAGGCCGGCTGCGCGCACGCGCAGTAGCGAGAAGGCGTCACCTCAGCGCTCTCCTTCCGCCATTACGGGAGGGGGGCGCCCCCTGGCGGGCGCGGGCGGGACGGGACGGGACGGGACGGCTGAGGGGAAGGAGGAGGAGGATGAGGAGGGGGAGGAGGAAGAGGAAGGCGCCGGCATCGCTTCGGGCTCTGAGGGGGTTTGTGCCAGCGGAGCAGCGCTGTGAGCTCCTCCAGCCCTAACGATTCTATGGTCTGCTCCTGTGCCAGCCTTCGGCTGCCCCCCGCAGGAGGAGGAGGAGGAGGAGGAGGAGGGGAGGAAGGCTCGAGCAGCCCCAGCGGGCGCGAGGCGGCAGAAGTAAGCCTTAAATCCACAAACGCGGGCTCCCACAGCCCCTGGGCACGGCCCGTGAGGAGAAACACGGCGCCTTCTGCGGTGGTACAGCTGCAGAGACAACATTAATTAAAAAAAAAAAAATAAAACGAAACGTGAGCTAAGGGGACGCAGATGGGTTTTAGGTTGAGCTGAAGGTGTTGGATCGTGTGGGCCGCCTCATGGCAGCTTGGTGTTTGAGGGGTGATGAGTTTAAAAAAAAAACAAAGAAATGGGCCTCGCCGCTTATTTCCTGTGAATGTGCTTCTGCTAGGCTGTGGTGCGTGGCTTTGGGAGCGGGGAGGCTGTGCCACCACAGGATGGGTGCCCAGGGAGGTGGGGGAGGCACCGTCCCTGGGGGGTGTGCAAGGAGAGGCTGGACGTGGTGCTTGGGGACGTGGTTTGGTGGGTGACACTGGTGGCAGGGGATGGTTGGACCAGGTGATCTTGGAGGGCTTTTTCCAACCTTTATGCTTCTCTAATCCTTTCTCCCACAGTGTTCTCACTGTTTCCCGCTGTAGGTATCCGCTTGGATAACTTTTGAAAAAGTACCGACAAATGTTTTCATTTCTTATCTGAGCTCTCATGTGTCCATTCTGCACCTCTTGCAGTGCTGTTCAACTGCCTTGAAGAGGAGAATCATACCAGTGCCAGGGAAGAGACAAACGAAGGTAGTGTAATTGCGGCTTATGGAGAGAAAGGGGGAGGTGGAATATATTTAGCACCACTTCTAGTATGAAAATGGTATGTGGGTAACAACACTTTTGCCTTTCATGGTATATAAATAAGATGTGTGTGAGTCCTACAGGTAATTCATAGGGAATATTCACCCAAGTATTTTTCTGGTAGCTGGCATAAGGAGCCCTGGCTTTGGCTTCTGTTTTCCTGCTCTAACATCTAGCTGCTCCCACACAATGCTGGGGAAAAAAAAAAAAAGCCACGAAAATCCTATAGAGGGGAAAAGAAAATCCATCTAGAAACACTCTAAGTCAGCTTTGGAAGTGTTGCCACCAGATGTCAGTGCACACCCTGAGTCACCAGCTGGTGAGACCAGTTTGAAGGCTGACAAAGCAAACCCATCCTGTGTATGGTTGTTCCCTGTCCTTCTAAATGGCGTGGACATCTTTTATTATTATTATTTTTTATGTTTTTGTGAAAACTATACCATGAGCTTCACATGCGATGTCTCCATGCAAAGCCAAGTTTTTGCTGCTGGAGTTTCAGAGCACTTTGAAGAGAAAGCAGAGCACTTTTGAGAGCCCTTTTCCAGAGCATTTCCAAGGTGAATGACTTGAGCATGACGTGTAGTAGTGGTACAGGCTGTTTGCTGTTGGCCTACACAAGATGAGAACTGGTCCAGAAATGAAGGACTCTGTTCTGTCACCTATCCTCTGAAGTGCTCTGCCCACCAGTGCGATCCAGATACGATAACAATATTGCAGTGTCTGAAAACAGATAAGACATAATGGCAGCGGTTTTAATTTGCAATGGTGGAACTTTTTACTGGCATTTTACTGGCATTTCTGAATGTGTTTGTTGTTTTTTTTTTTTTTTTTAACAGGGGTATTACGTACACTTGTTTCTCAGGACTTTAAATTTGTGATACTGTTGTGCATGGCAAAAGGGTGGGAATGGCCCAGGGCGCGCTTTGGTTCTTGGAGCAGTAAAGTGGGATTCCAAGAAGCACTGTGGCCTTTTTCCTAGTGAGACTTTGCTCTTTCCACTTTTTTTTAGTGAATATAAAAACTTGCTAAATAGTGTTGAGAGGTAGTGCCAGATCAGTCATTTTACAAATCAAGTATTTTGTATGTTCCTGATTATATTTAATGTTAAGCTTTTAATTGCTGTTGACATCAGCAGCTGGTGGCTGCTGACAGAAGATTGTTACTTTATTGGCTTTGTCTTGATGCTTCTGAGGGTAACCACTGGCTCTCTACTGACATAGTGTTGCTCAGTTCCTGTTATACTTTGCAATGGAAGTCATTCTCTGATAAGAAATTGAAAAAATACTTTGCAAGCAGTTACAAGAAAGCCAGATCTCATTACAGTTGGGGTGGTATCACAGGTCTGCTAGCCAAAACTTGCCATCTTGAAAGCAGACAATAAACCTAGGATGGTGACAGTGGACTCTTGAAATGGAATGGGAAAACAGTTTTATTTACTCTTTTGTGCTTGCTATTCGAAAAAGAGAAATGTTAACCACAGTGGAGATCACATGCCATTTTCTAGCATGGTCTGGTGACACACTGAATCATATTCTCTTTTTAGTGTCCTTGCCAAAGACATACTAATACTTTAATAACAGCTTTCATGAATAGGCTGAGTACCACAAATACGTATGCTTGGAAGAGAAGAGGTGTGATGAATCAGGTTTTAATCAGTGGTTTAATTTTTTAAAAAAATCTTTTAGCAAAGCATTGTTTTAAATATTTCTAATGGAGGTATGATGTAAGTGGAATATTAATTATTGCGACTAATGCAACTTGGTAAGCAAAATTTATCAAAACTGCTTTTATCTGAGAATATGTTCAGCATTTTTTCCCGTAGAAAGCTTCCTGAAGAGACAATCAGGACAATCATCTTATACAGCTAAGGAAGGTTATTGCTTTAAAGAAAAATTCGGATTTTTTTTTTTAGTAATATGGTCATTCAGTTGAAAATATTCTCCTTTGACACTTCTATGAATTTAATTCATGACTAATTTATAGTGGAACTAATTTGTTAGTATTTGGAGAAAGGCTTCCAGAGTACCCTTTGTAGACTTGCTTGAAAAATTATTTGAAGGAGCTTCGTGGACCATCAGAATTTACTCCAGTTCATCACTAGGTGATTTCTGTTTTGTTTTCATGATTAGGGTTAGGAATAGACTTTCAAATTAAAAAAATAACAAATAATAAAAAAAAAATCCCACTGAAGTGCTTTTGAGCCTTTGAAAAAATCATTGAGCTACTCGTATTTTTAGACTTTCTGGGAGCTGTACAAACTTGTAAATGGAAATTTGTATTTCAGGTGATGTGAAGGCATTTTGGACCCAGCTGGGAAACAGAAGAGTAGACATCATATTTGAGCAGGTGCAAGAAGTCCTGCTGCTGCTAAAGGAAAAGATCAAGAACGGAACTGCCACAAACCAAGGTTTGAAACCCTTGTAATGGTTCAGCAGGACTGCAACTGAGCTGTAGTTTCATTTCAGTAGTAGTAGTTTCATTGTAGTTTCATTTCAGATGCATTTTGCCATATAATCGTTTTGCCCATGTGCTTTTTCAAAGATATTTTTTTTTTTATGCATGCAGAACTGGAATGTTTATCCTTGAGTAGTAATGAAATATCTCCAGTGCCTTGTGCTTTGTTCATCTTCAAAAGTTTTAGCCTTTAAGGCTGATTCAGTGAATTGAAAGGGTTTGTAGTGAGTTGATAATCTTTTAAGTACTACTTCATGTTGGAGAAAATGGTAACAGTAATGCATTATAAGATTGTTCTTGATTTTCGTGGAAATAAGTTTTCTTTATCTGTATCAAAATCAGGAGTTTGGTAAGTCTGGAGCAGTACACAGACGTCTTTGTTTGTTTTCTTTTGTTTTTAACTGGTCTATTTAACTTAGAAATTATTTAATTTTTATTTACATCAGTGATTTAATAATCTGTGCAGTTTACTGCTGCTTCTACACAAGAAAATGCACAGCAGTGTCAGACACTTTTAAACTCTGCATTTTGGTGCTTGCTCTAAATTGGTGCTGTGTTTTTTTTTGTGTGTGAACTCGCGTTCCTGTCTTGATTTTTGGGAGGAAATATTCCAGAATTGCGGAGTTAAAAGTTGAATTTTAATCCCCGGATGATGCAATGACTCTGTAATGTACTTAAATATGTACGTTCTGTGCTTTGTTCTGTAAAGATTCCAAACTAAATTGTTAATATGGATTTTACTGTCGTTTCTGTCAGCCTATTTATTGCATGGGGCAACAGGTTGAGACAGAACAAGTCACTGCTTTTGTGTTTTTGTAATTGCCCAGCAATTTATGAGTTGCATTAATTTGTCCTGACAAGATCCAGCCCTTTTTTGGTGGGAGATAACTAACCCAGTAACAATGTAAAGAGAGAAACTTTTACTAATTTATATTTACATCTATTATTACATCTGGAGGCTAAAGGACTTTGTGTGTTTAAAAGCATTCCAGCAGCTTTCCACAAGGCAGAGGATGTCCAGTTCTGGTTCACAATTACTGATAGGAGCTGTGACTTCATTCCAGCTTCTCGATGTGTGAATTAGGATGCATCGTGCTAGCGCTGCAGTGCAAAAAGTTTCCAATAGTCTGAGTGTTGCAATGCTCTAGATTAACACAGGAAATGATGTTTCTGGAGGACTTAAGCCTTCTTTCCCCTTTTAGCTGTCTCTATTATCGTTGTCCTTACACTTCACATCTGATTTTCTTTTTTTTCTTTTTTTTACATAGAATGCTGGCAGGCTTGGGCACTGGTGAACGAAGCTAATCTAGGGGATCTTTTAACTTCGACAAGTGGTATGTGCATCTTGATTGCATTTATTTGTTGTGTGGCTTTAATTTCTTTTGTTTCACTTACCAGGAGTTCATTTCCTGGTTTTGAAATGAATAAAATAGATCTCAGAAGCCCCTTGGCATTGCAAACAGAGAAAAAACTAAACCTCTGCATCCTTTTACCTCAAATAATGAAGAAAAATCTGTGTGTTTCGTATGTGTGTTATCTCCATGCACTTTGAAAGCTGCATGGGAGATTTTAATGCACAAATCATGTGGTGGCTGGAGAAAAGGAGGAGAATCTTTGCAATGCATTTCTGTCTCAAATCTGTCAATGCACACCAATTTAGATTACCGATGTTTCTGCTTGTATTCCATGTTTTTTCAGAAAGCGAAGCAGTTGATGGAGATGGTGCACAGGAAATCGAACCTAAATCGAATCAACTTGTTACAGATGCCAGAACTGCAGACTCTGCAGGAGGTTCTCAAAGGTCAGTGTGTTTATTTAATACTTCCAATTTAGCAAAACTCATTATTCTATGTGTCTTTATTGCACTTGAGAGAGTATTTAATCTCACTCAGGTATTTATAAATTCAACTTTGAATCCTGACAATTTTCAAAGCAAAAATATGTTTAACTTGGCCTACATGGCCAAGATGGCTTTCATGGTCAAAACCTGAGCTTTTGAGTAGAGTTGGTTAATGTACCACACAAGAACCTTCCAGAATCAGAGTATTTAGTTCTGAATGAAATCATGAATGTTTCCAGGGCTACCAGGGCTGGGACTTAATAGTTTTGAGTTCAGTTCTCAAGGTTTCAGACTGTGAATCGTTAGGCAAATGAGTCTGTAGTTATGCTTAGGTAGTAGCTGGAAGATGGAGACAAAGGTACTCTTCTTTTGGTTTCTTAATTCTTTTTTATAAATGTTGTTTCTGTCTTCTAGCATGTAAGCTCTTTCTGGGCCAGAGCTGCTGCTGTCCTTTATTTGGGATGGTACTGTGTGTCTTCATATGGTGTCAGGCCACGTTGCATGATGCAAACAGTCACTCAGTGAAACCCTGGGCCTTGTAGCAGCGGGCTGTTAACTTTCCTACAGTAATAATGCTAAACCACAAGTAGATGAATTGTTTTACTGGTTGTCTGAGATGCCATTTTGTCTTTTTTTTTTTTTTTTCATTCAAAATAGCAAAAAGGAGGATGTGGAAAAATCGGATTCAGGGGGCGAAGAAGCATCTAGTGAAATTGGACGTGTCCCTTTAAGCCCCCAGTATCAGAACCACAAGTGCTCTAGCGCGTGTCTCACCAACAGAGCAGCAAGCGCCTACAAGGGTGAAAATCCTCTGCAGATCCCCATCCTGCTGCACTTCCAAAGACGCCACGCAAAAGCAGACTGCCTTTCGAAGTCGCTGGATGTGAATTACAAAGCTCCCTGTGGCAGGAGTCTGAGAAGCTTTCAGGACGTGCAGAATTACCTGTTTGAAACAGAATGCAATTTCTTATTTATTGACCACTTCTCTTTCAACACCTACGTACTGCTGGGCAGGAACACTGTAAATCCCAAACCCCTCGTGTATGACTTCGATATCAGCAACGGAGCTGAGTCTGTGCCCGTCTCCTTCTGTAACGATATCGACTGCGCACGGTTACCTTATTTTAAATACCGGAGGGCATCGTGGCCCCGTGGGTATTACCTCAACAATTTATCCACCATGTTTCTTGATTCGTGTGACTGCACAGATGGCTGCATTGATAGGTGAGTGGAACAATCGAATCCCAGGCAAACAGTGGGGAAAACATTTGGGATCTTATCAATGTGTATGAATACCCAAGGTGTGGGAGACAGAGGGATTTGGCCAACCTCTTTTCAGTGGTTTGCGGGAACAGGACAAGGAGTAATGATCACAAAATGGAGCCCAGGAAGTTCCACACCAACATGCGAAAGAACTTCTTCACGGTGAGGGTGACGGAGCACTGGGACTGGCTGCCCAGGGAGGCTGTGGAGTCTCCTTCTCTGGGGATATTCAAGGCCCGTCTGGACACCTACCTGGGCAGCCTGCTCTAAGGAACCTGCTTTGGCAGGGGGGTTGGACACGATGATATCTCGAGCTCCGTTCTAACCCCTTCAATTCTGTGATGGGATATCTGCAGTATTTGTCTTGTGCTCTGCATGGACTGAAACAACTGAGGCTTTGTTTCATCCAGAACTGGGGTGCTCCTACCTGTCCAGCATCTGTTGTAGGAAAAGAAGCGATCGAGAGAAGGATTATGTTCCTTTACGTTTCCTCCCAGATGGGTAGTGCTTCTTCAAGTGGAGCTGGAAGGCAAATCTCAGCTTTGGGAAAGGAGTAGGGAAGGGAAGGTTGGAAGTTTCTATGGGAAACTGACACAGTTTTGGCAAGAACACTGCCCACTTTCCTGTGGGGTATTTGCCCACTTCCCTGAAGGGTGTTTGTCTTTAACCTGATCTCTGCCTGGAGGTGTTACCTTCTCCTTGAATCCATTTTGTGTTTTTGATAGCTGGGGCAGTTGCTGGTACTGGCGTGCAGTATATTAATGAAGCTGCAGAAATTCAAATTACTTCGAGCAGTGGGGACCAGCTAGCACACAGCATGCTCCTGCTGTGTGCTGAACTTCCCCAAGAGCTGAGACAGAGTAAGAGTCTTTGGATTTGTCATAAGGTGTGAGAGTCAGCATTACTGCTGGAGTTCTGCAATGGGCACTATGGAATTCTTCACTTTGGGGGGGCTAGAGTGGGAGGAAGGTGATGAAATTGTGGCTAGCAGACCAGGATGCTGTGCCAGAGCAGGTCGTTCTCATTCCTTCATTCAATCAATTTAACCAAGTCCTGTTTGTAATTAAAAATAATAAAACAAGATGTTTGTGCATATAGTCAAGTACATTTTAAATGATGGAAACTTGATTTACAGTGCTTCAAATGGATTCTGTTTTCCACATGATGTTTTACTTCTATCTTCTAGGTCAAAATGCGCGTGCTTACAGCTAACTGCAAGAGGCTGTCATAAAGTTTCTTTGTCTCCAAGTACTAAAACGTCTCGTGGATACAGTTATAAAAGACTGGAAGGGCCTGTTCCCAGTGGGTAAGAAAGAACTATCAATTACTATTTTATTTGTATACTCTTTCTTTACTCCTATAGTGTTTCTGGATTATTGAAACCTTCACTTTTTGCCCCAGTGTTACTGGCAAGTCAGGATGGTTTGGGCAGAAATAATAAATGACTTGAGTAACGATGGGGAAAAACACTTTGGTACTTCACATTCCTACAGCTTTTTTTACAGTGCTCTGTGTGTGTGCACAGGTGATGGAGGAAACAAGTTATTGTTCCCAGTAATATTGTTTCCTTTTCAGTCCTTGTTGCTGTGCAGTGTTGACTTATGGTTGGGGTACAGGATTAAATCTGCCAGTGAACCTAGAAACAGATGGAAAAAAGCACAGTTGTGATTTATTCTCGTGGCATTTATTTAAATCCAAAAACTCCTGACAGCTACAGTGAGGTGTCAGCAGACAGGTTGTCTTTGCTAAAATCTGCTCAAGCACAGAATGAGATACTTCATAAAGATTTCTTCATCTGTGTGACTTGCTACTTTTGTAAAATAAGAAAGTATTTATTTTTCTTGTGTCCTTATAAAAAAAAGATCTGACTCTTAAAATTGATGAGTCAGTAGCCAAGAATGTCACGAGCTTCAGAGCACTGCCCAATCAGTTCTCGCCAGGGTCTTTCTTTTCGTTCAACTGCCTCATTACTTCGTGCTCAGGAGGGAAATGTATAATGCCAGCTGTGCTTTAGTAACGCATTCTTTTACGTTGTGTTTTCTTTTGTTTTCTCTGGACAGAATTTATGAGTGTAGCGTGTCGTGCAGGTGTGACAAGATGATGTGTCAGAACAGAGTGGTACAGCATGGCATTCAAGTTCGCCTGCAGGTGTTCAACACGGAGAAGAAAGGTTGGGGCGTCCGCTGCCTGGATGATATCGACAAGGGGACGTTTGTTTGTACTTACTCAGGTAACAGAAGGTGACCTAGGGAAGATTTATAGCATAATTCTCCCTCCCCTGTGGCCTGTGCTCTGGAATTTCTTTGAGAACCCAACAGGGAAATAGAGTGTTGGAAAAGAAGCGAGCCAGTATGATCTTAACTTGCAGGTGATCAAATGGACAGAAGAACTTCGAAGAGCTCTGCAATGTAATGGTGCCAGACAAATTCAAAAGGTTCTGGAGCAAAGCCCATCTCAGACTTGATTTTTTTTCCCTTCACGGGTCTGTGCATCCTATGCCAGTGCTAGTTTTCCTTCAGTATAAATGCATTCATATTTTGCTTTTCAAAATAATGCCTTTAATATAAGTTAGAACTGATACAGTGTGACCCATCTTAGCAAAGAAACACTTTTAAAAATGTAATTTTTCTTCCAGGCAGATTAATGAGCAGAGCTGAAGCTCAAGTATTGGGAGGTGCCAGTCAAGACAAAAAAGAGGAGAGTGCTGTGAATGACAGCAGGCACGGCTTTTTTTCCAAAAAAAGGAAACTTGACAGTAGTTGCTCAGATTCTGAGATTGAACTAGTGCAGACTGGCAAGGATCATGTTCTTGAGAAGCAGGAGTCTTCGTCTCAGGCTGTGGATAATGAAGATGAATCATCTGAGTAAGTTTACCAAAGGAAATGTAAGAATAACAAAATCATTTATCATTATGCTAATGTGTAAAGAGTGAAGTGATTACAAAATATTTGATGACACCGAAGGATTTGATAACAAATTAGCCACTAACTGTCCTGTGCTTTGCTCTCAATTTCTAAACCTCTTGTTCTTTGTAACGTAACCTGGCCTGCTGGTTTTAACCTTTTCTGTAAGGAGTCTGACAGACACGCTTCTTGCATAATTACTGCAAAAGGAATTCTAATCCTGTTTTCAATTCATGGTCTCAGCCTGTCAAGACTCCTAAAATAAAATTACAGCAAAATAATGTGTGGCTTTGTCAATAGCATGCTGTAGTCTTTTCAGAAAGAAGCGGGGAGCTCGTCGTCTTAAATTTTATTCCTCGCTTTGCCACACTCCTTTGTAAACTGTTTCTTTTTTACTGCCCAGGAATGATTGCAAACACTTGCTCATTTCATGAAAAAATATAAAAGCCTTAAAAAATACCTGCCACTTTATTCTCAGTTGCATTTCATTATCTTGTAAACCTAATGAACTAATAGTTTTGTAAGCTACATAATTATCAGTGATCTGGTTTTTACTTCTACTGAGTGCTTCCCCTCTAAATTGTAGGGCAGCATGATATTAAGTTTGTTTTTACTCCACTGTTACCTTAAAATCTCATTTTTACTCTTAGGAAAGGAAATAATGTTTCACATGGGGGCTATATAAAAGTGTGACACACAAAGAATTTGCTATTCTGGCTCCTGAAAGAAAACAAAACCCAATTTGCTGACCTGAAAAAACTTGAGAGGATATCAGTGGGCTAAGGCCTACGTGTCATTCACTCAAGCAAGTTGCCTTTAAAAGGGTGAACAGTGTAATCATAATATTAAATATCACAACTTATGGCTATTGCAGCTTCTGAATTTACAAAGGGGTTTAAATCTTAAGAAAGACTTAAAGAATAGCATTTTGTGGCCATTATTGGTAGACCAAAGAAATACAATGGTTTTTCATTGCAAGAAAATGCACGTAAATATTTGAGATTGAAAAATTTATTGAGTAGGAGCTATTACCTATTGCCACATGCTGTATGGATACTCAGATTAGGTTGAAGCTGATATTTTCTACTGCACTCTAAACATAATCAAAGTAAATGTGACTTCTGATGTTTTAAGTACATATGGCAAAGACTGCTTCCCATCCTTCCTCAGCCTTCTCCTGATGTGAAAGAGCGAAGTCCTGTTGTGTGAGAGTATTTTCTATATGTGCCATATATTGATTCCCTCTCTCTGTCTCTTGACCCCAGTCTTTTTTGTTTTCCTGTTTGGAAGCTACAGTGTCAAAACTGTTGAAAGTGATGGCAGGAAAAAGGCAAAACTCTCCCTGTAGGTGCTGTGTTCTGAGATGATTTGGTATAATAGTTAACAGAAAACTTGGTTCTTAGGAGTACTGAAGGAGGGTGTAAAAGCAGCTGCTTCTCTCTCAAAAAAAAAGAAGTGTGCTGAGCTGTTTTTTATAAACACTGTTGAGAACTTAACCCAGATCATCAAAAAGCAGCTGGGGTGAAAGTAAGACTGCAAGTCCTGGTGTGGTCTGCTCTTAATGTTCTAGAGACCGTTGGAGAAATGCGTGGTGTGAGCGTTACTTATTATCATGTTGTCTTCTGCAATCTCCTTTTGAACTTTCTGCACAGAGTTCACCCAAGGAATTCGAGTGTGGCAGCGGTGAGAAGGCCTGGAACTAGAATAGCTGTTGTTCATAATCACCAGCTACAAATGGTAATAATAAGAAGTGGCTTTAAAAGAGGGATTTTTTTTTCCACTGTGCTGAATATATGCATCAACTCTGACCTTTTCATCTTACACACTTAAATTCTACCAAACTTCCTTTGTGCGATTGTCACGCTGTGAGCTAAGCTGGAAGCTGTACCCCATCCTTTCTCCAATATCATCCCTTCAACATCTTCACTGAGAAGGGAGCTAATTACATCCCTTCTTTCTCCATCCTCACCCTTCACTGGTGCTCCAGCCACGAGTCTCAATAAATGATTCTCCACCTCCATCTCCCATTGCAGCTAATTGCAGGGTTAGGGGGGGCAAAGTGCTAATATTTTTGTGATGTCTCCCTCAAAAGTGCTGTAGCAGGAAAAGAAGGGAATAAAATCTCACGAGTTGGATGGAGTTAGCTCAACAGCACAGCTGGGAGAATCTCATCTGCCCCGGGGTGTCAAGTGTTGCCTGTAAATACTTGTAAAGGAAGGAAGCTGGTGTGAACTTATTCTGCAGGTTCCATTGCACACGATGTTTGCATGCAAAAACGTGGCAGTTCTGTGCACTTTGGTGCTTCCGTAACTGATTGCCTTCTTGTAGTGGGAGGCAAGAAATCTTGCCACTTCTGTTTTATTAAAAAGTGTAAAAAACCTATTTGGGCTTTGGTTCGGCAGTTTATACCAAGATATTTAAACCCTGGAGAGATTGTTTGCACTTATTTAAATAATGTAAATATGATATTGAATGAGGAGTTCCTTCCAGGTTATTCTGAAGGGTGACTTGAAATTAAGATACGTGTTGGATTTTAGTAAATGTTTGGACCTTTGGAACTCAGTCATAGCCATGGAGGTTTGAAACTTAAGCCCTGGAGTCCTAAAATCCTTTTGTTATCCTGTGTTGACCCAGAGTTGCATACAGCAACGGTTCGTCACAGCCTTTTCACTTATGTTTTATTCTGTTTAAAGGAAGTTGATACACTGGTGCGCAGTGCCAGCTCAGACGAAGATAATAGTTCTCAGCCTCATCAGTCAAGCAAAGCAAAACTAACCAGTGGAGCAAAGAAAGGAAAAAGTAGGTTTGCAGAGCTGTAAATACTGCACTCTTAGCGTGCTTGTAAGCTGTGGGCTTGGCATGTGTGCAGGCCTGTTCGCAGAGTAGGGTGGTGATGTCCACATAGTGCTTGGGCTGTCTTAACAGAGCTCGGCAGTACAGAAATTATTGTCGTACCCACTGCATGTACCAGGCAACAAAACTGGCAGAGGATGTAAGGGGAAGGGTGGGGGCGCTCAGCCTTGGGAGACAATGTGAAACTGATGCTGTTTGCACACGCATCTTGTTTCTGTCCTAATTCCAGTGTGTGGTTCTCCCAGGAATGAAATTAAGGAGAACGATCTCTTCTGCATGGCATTTTATCATCGGTTTGGAGTGGGATTTGAGAAGAAGGGAGAGACCCAAGTCGCTCGCGGGAGCCTTGGGCAAGTGCTTCAGGCACTACAACAAGAAACATAGTAACTGCAGGAGAAGTGGTGAAAGGTGTGGAAAAAGGCAGTTACATTAAAGCTTTGAAGCAAATAGGAAGGAAGCTGAATGTATTTTGGACAACAAAGAAAGCTGGGTGGATAAGAGGCCAGGGCCAAACAAGGGAAAGGCTTTTGCTTCAAAGCAATACTGAAAAATAACTTCCACGTCCATTGACAGGATCCAGTCAGCAGCAGAAGGAAGACCACGCGATGAAAGCTGGACGGACAGAGCCTGCTGACACGGACAGTGCTGAATGCAAAAGGAAGAGTCTGTCTCTGCAGGGTGTTGCTTGCGGCAAGTCGGATGTGCTGAATGACACGCGTGTTACGAGGCCATCCAAAAGCGTTGCCCAAAAAGCTAAGCACAGCGAGGAGAATCGCAGGCAGTCAAAACAAGGCACGTTTTGCGAGGAGGCTGACGGTGATGGGTCGCTTCTGAACGCTAACGAAGGAAATATTTATATACTGGATGCCACGAAAGAAGGGAATGTGGGTCGTTTTCTTAACGTAAGTAAGAACTTGCACGTGTTGTCTTACTTGCCTCAGCATAAATAAATAAATGATGGATTTGCATGAGTTGGAAGGCTTTTGCAACAAAATCTGTCCTGACATAACCCAAATGCGTGGTGCGTGCGCGTGAGGGCAGCTTGTGGTGCTCCCGGCACTCTGAAGTGACAGAACAGCAGGTAGGCTCCTGCCAGCTATGAGTGCTTCCATAAAATAATGCATGGCACACACTAGCTGAAGGTTTTGGCACCACCAGGTTCCAGAGCGAAATATTTCTAAGTAATGAGTGATAGCTGTTTCCTGAATTTTAGTATAGCACCTCTTTTGTGGGGGGGAGAGGGGTTGTCCAGGCACCAAATGGCACTTTTTAGTAAACTACCAACCTTCTCCCAGCCCCATTCCTTGTTCCCAAAGCATTGTAAATTCTGGCTTATGCTGATTTAAGGTAAGTGTTGGGATTTTGTAGGAAACTTCTCTATAGCTCAGTCACAGGTGAAGGAAGTGGTCGGTTGTGCTTGGTTAGTAAGTCTCTGAACTTTGACTTTTCAAGAAACAGCAATGAATTCCAACAAAAGCCCAACCAAGGTGAATGTTTTTATACACACACCTGCATGTGCTCAGCAAGTGATTTATTCCTCCATTGGCATGGGTGTGTATCTCCTTGGAAAATCTTGCATATATGTGAGCATTTCCTTATTGCAGAGGCAGTATGGTGGTAAGATTGGCATAGTGCATCTTGCTGAAACCTTCCTTCTTCACCCATCACCATGCCTGTGTTCCTACGTGCACCAGAATGACCTTTAGCATCTCATTTCATCTATTAATTGTTCCCCAACTGCCATCGAGATACATCTGTCACGTACTGATTATTTATGGTACGTCCCAAATCAAAGATGATTTCTCACCATTCCTATATTCTGTTTCACAGCACAGCTGCTGCCCAAATCTGTTTGCACAGAGCGTGTTTGTAGAGACTCACAACAGAAGTTTCCCATGGGTGGCTTTCTTCACAAACAGGTGATTTATTTTTTGAAATGTAATGTTTTTTTCAAAGCAGTAGGGAAGAAAACAGTGCTTAATTATTAAGAAAAAGTTACACTAAGGGTGCAGATGTTTAGATCATGAAACTGTAGAACTACTTTCTTACTATTTTCTTACTGTTCACTAAAGACTGAAGGAATACAATTGTTTCAGTGCAAACTGAATAAAAATAACTCATTAGCAATAATCAACATGAGGCGTAGAAATGACTTTTGATGCATCCATTTTGGTTATTGTCATCTTAAACCTATTGTCAATAGGCTAAACCTATTTTTCATGGTTCTTTAGAAAGCCAAAATTCATTGGTCTCAGTGTTGTGCCTCAAGGAATGCCCAGCAGAGCTGTGTCGCAGAGGGCAGGGTTGGAGTCTATGGGTTTTTAAGGCTGATGCACCTCCTCTGTGGGCCCAACAAGCCGACTCCAGACCTTCTCTTCACGGCTATCAAGAGAAGCTGGGTTCTGTGTACTCTGATGTGTCTTGGGGAGGTGGCAGCAAAGCACTCAGGTGGAAACTTCCTCTGAAAGACAAAAAAATAAAAAATGTGGCCATCTCCTCCTGGATGGCAGAGAGCTGGCACCAGTGAGATGAAAGAAGGAGGCAGCTAAACCCCGGAAAGGAAAGATTAACTGTATGACTGAAGTTAGCTGACGGGTTTGGCAATGGGAGTGCCAGGTGAGAATTTATAATAGCGGGGAGAGTTTATTCCAGACAAACAGGGATCCTGGAGAGCACTGATACTCTGTGGAGCCTTGTAACCCTAGGCCCAGCCCCTGGTCCCATGCTGACGTGCATGCTGTGGATTGCACTGTGAGGAGGGCTTCCAAGAGCTCTGAAGGCAATGCTGCTGAAATATATCAGGAAAAAGAAAAAGATTCTGGTTTAGCTAGAATCTTTCTTGCTTGGGTACTCAATAAAAAACGTGTAGTGGGGATTGAGGCCAGTGGATAGAGGTGGTAGCGGTCAGCAGAAGACGCTTAGGGAAGGCGATTGTTGAAGGAATGCTCCCTTGGCTTGTCCTCTGGCTTTCTGGCAATTACCCCTTTGCAACTTCTCTACGTTAAGGGCTCCATCTGGACCATTGAGCTTAATTTTATATCTTCTGTGAACTTTCCCAGTCACCTTTTTATTTCTTTTACGTCTCTGGCTTCCAGAACATCTTGAGGTTAACAAGTCCCAGATTGCAGTTATGCTTCGCTTGGAAAGTCCTCACTTTGTTCTCAGCCTGCTGCCTGGTAGTTCACTGGGCTTCACTTATGTCTTACCCTCTGAGAAACATCAGGGAATTACTCTCTTGTTTGTAATACTCGTATTTTGTTGTATTTTCCACTTGGTTGTGCCTCAGCATCTTAGTATTTAACTTGGCATTTGTTCGGGGCAGTGAATTTCCTACATTTGCAATCACCTCGCTCATACACCTGTCATAGGGGCTGGTTCTTGAGGATCATGGGTTTGATTTTGAGTCTTAGGGTTTGGGCACGTAAATGATGCAGTTGCATTAAAATGTAGTTTATCAGACCAAAGATGATCCCCTTCATCCTCAGTACACCTAGAGATCTATTTGAACCACAGTGATGGGCTGTATATAGTAAAAGGAACAAAGCTGCCTGTGCCAGGGACTCCTTATAGCTCTTGGTTCTCTCCAAGCTGCATGCGTGGTGCTTTTGCCCCACGCACTTTTTGGGGTTTGCATGTGGTGACAACTGGTGAACACAGCCCTGTTTCTCTTAATTCAAATGAACTGACCAAATATTTTACTTCGTAGGCACGTGAAAGCTGGAACCGAACTCACATGGGATTATGGTTATGAAGCTGGAAGCCTGCCAGAGACGGAGATTTCCTGCCAGTGCGGAATGCAGATGTGCAGGAAAAAAACCTTATAGGTCAAGCTTTTCTACTGTCAGCGCTTCGTGTACCTGGACATTTATGTGCTGGGAGGGACTACACAGCGAACAGTGCACTTAAACAAACCTGTGGTGCTAACTAGTGAACAAAAATGTCTTTTATCTGATTGTTTTTTAACTGTAGTTATTTTTCATTTTTATGGTTTACAGAAATAGAAATATCTGTCTTAAGACCGTTTCTTAGATTATTTCCGTGCTCCTCATCTTTCCCCTCCTCTCTTTTCATTCACAAGCTGAAGGAACTCACGCTTCCTTATAGGCTGAAAGAGAAACATGATCGGTGCAGGACAAGGGTTAGTTGATGTTTTCCTGGGCCCTTCTGCAGTGATGAGTCCCAAAAGTCCCAAATCTCAGTGAAGGTCCCAAAACTGCTCACAACATTCAAGGTGCTGCCTCACAATGCTGTATACAAGGGGACAGTCGCTTCCCTGTGAGTGTTTTTCTGCTGGGCAGCTTTCCAGCCACCCTTCCCCAAGCTGCTGTGTGGGGTTGTTGTGACCCAAGCGCAGGACCAGGCACTTAACATTCTTAAATGTCACGCATGTAATGATGTTCCTGAAAAAGAGCAAGGCAGGTGGGTGCCTTCTGAATATTATTGGAGCCTTGTGCAAAGAAAGGGGAGTTTAAGCTGGTGCTGGAATTCATCTTAAATTCCTGAGTTTCAGAAGCTTGAATTGTCTCATTGTTAGAGTACTCTGGAGGCCATGCATGGCTGATCACATATAATTTCTGTTGCTATTTGCTCAGCCATTAGCAGTTTTGTTTTTTATTTTGTCAGTGGGTTTCCTGGTTTACTGGCTCCAGAGCAGGGCTGAAACTGGCTCCCTGGCCTGTGGCTGTGGGGCAGCGTACCAAACAGCAGCACGGCCTAGATCCCAAGGCAGAGGGGCTGGATAGGTGTAATACCTTGGCCTTATAGTGAGGAGGAGGGAGGGAAGGGAAATTTGTAGTGGATTTTCTTCAACTTGAGAAGTGCCAGACAGGGAGAGAGGCTCCGTCCCTTCCCTCACCTCACGGTGAGGGAGCGCTGGGACAGGCTGCCCAGGGGAATTGTGGAGTCTTCTTCTCTGGAGCCACCTTTGGGACTCCGTGCCGGCCCTGTGCCCTCAGGAGGAGGCTTTGGGGTGGAGGCAGGGAAGGGGCCTCGCCCCCTCACAGGGACCGGCGGGGGCGGGACTCGAACCCGCGGCCCCAGCACCTCCCCGCCCACGTGACCCGCCTCAGCCCCTTCTACCCCCTCCCACCGCGCCGCCGAGCGCGGGCACGGCAGCGCGCATGCGCGGCGCTCCGGCTGGGCCCGCCCGCTTCCCCTCCCCTCCCCCTCCCCCGCGCGGAAGCGGCCGCTGGTGCGGGCCGGCCCTGAACCCCCGCGGTAAGTACCACCGGGCAGCCGCGGGGGGGGGGGAGGGAAGGGGGCACGGGGGCGCGTCCACGCCCTGCGGGGGGTGATGCCCGGCAGTGCTACCCCCAACCCCCCCCCCGCGCAGGGCGGTGGTGGGCGAGCCCGGCTACCTGAGGGGAGCGCGGGGCCGAGGGGGGCTGGGGGGGAGGGGGAGGGGGAGGGGGGGGGGCTGTGCCCTGAGGGGGAATGGAGCCCCAAATAACGGCTGCCAACGGTGTCACCGCACAGCGTGTCCCCAAGCACCGCGTCCCGCCTCGCCCTGAGCACCCCCAGGGACAGTGACCCCATCACCTCCCTGGGCAACCCGTCCCAGTGCCTGACTGCTCTTTCTGAGCAGAAATGTCTCCTCATTGCCAACCTGAACCTCCCCTGGCACAGCTTGAGGCCATTCCCTCTGGTCCTGTCACTGGCTACCTGTGAGCAGAGGCCGACCCCCAGCTCCCCACCCCTTCCTTTCAGGCAGTTGCAGAGAGCAATGAGGTCTGCCCTGAGCCTCTTCTCCAGACCAAACACCCCCAGCTCCCTCAGCCGCTCCTCACAGGCCTTGTGCTCCAGGCCCTTCACCAGCTCCGTAGCCATTCTGCCCCAGCAGACCATGCTTTATTTAAATACTGCACAGCCTCCATCCTTCTGGGAGCTCCCAGTTCCCAGAACATTCCCAGTTCCCCCTCAGGGGGTGGGTGACAGCCTCCAGTGCTGGGGGTCCCTAGCATCTTGGACAGGGTCATCCCCACCACGTGTCTACCTTTCAAAGAAAATACCATTTTCACGCCTTATATCCATTAAAATATTCTCCCTGTATCAAATAAAAGGTGAAGGGGAAGATGGATTTCTGTGGTTTTACTCCAAAATCCTTGTGCTCTCCTCACCCTGCTACAGAGGCGTTGGGTGGTCTGTGCCTCTGGCTCCTGTATAACGTGAGCTTGTGAGCCTGCAAGGAGGCTTTCAGAGTCAATTCTGGAGAGGAAATGCTAAACAAATGAGTAAAGTTTCAGCAAGGTATGCTTGGAAGTTGCACAGTCACCCTTTTTCATCCCCCTTTTAACTTTCTGTTTCATTTACTGCTTTCCCCCAGGTTGCCATTGTGGCAGCGCTGACAGGGCGTGTTGGTAGGAAATGGCACAGGGTTAGAGAAGCATCCTGAGACACGTGGCTGCTTAATTCCCATGACTGCTTCCCCTCCACCTTCTGTTTTACAGCTTTATCCCCTCCTCCATTAGCGGAGGGCAGTGGAAGAGCCCGTGGCTCTCACAGATGAATTAGTTGCCATACTTTGTGTGAAAGTTGCAGAAGGACTCTGAGTCATTCGACTGTAAAATAAAGGCTGAGAAAATCCAGCACTGATAAGTGGAAGACAAGGCGTGTGTCAGACGTAATGCTGCCCTCTGTACCGACTGTCAGATACCATGTAGGAAAGAGGTCTGAGGTCTGCAATACCTTGTCCTACGGCGGGGACAGCTCCATGCCCAGAAGCAGTCCAATGTGTGAATTATTAAGAATTGTTCAGAAAAAAAAATGAGTACAGAGAGCTGCTCTTGAGCTATTGCAGGAGTAGAAAAGAGACTGCAAAGTGATGATGGTGATCAAAGATGTGGAGCAGCTCCTGTTCAAGGAATAACTAAATAATTTCAGAGTCTTGAACGTGAAAAAGAGGCAGCAGGAGACAGAATAACAGGTTTGTGCTATCATGGGTGTTACTGGAGGAGCTGAGTGAGGAACAATGATTTCTTGCCTCTTCTCACACATACCTTGGGTGTCAAAAAGTGAGTGGTTATTCAGGCGAAACGGAATTAAACTGAAACTGGATCCATGCCCTTAGCCTTTCCCTCCTTACTTAGGAGCAGCCAGCTGGATCCACAGCCCCATTTAGCTCTTTATCCCATTCCTGATGGTAATCGGTAGCCGAAACCTAGGGAAGAGCACGGGGACAAAGCAGGAGTGCAGTTGGGGGCGGGATACTGAGCTGAATGGGGCACTGGATTCAGGCTGGCTGCTCATGCAGTGAGGAGCAGCCGAGAGCTGTCCTTTTGCTTCAGGGGCCTGACAAAGGCCCTGGAGTAACCCAAGGGTTGACCTTGACCTGGTCCTTGGTTATCTTTCAGCACCAAGATTTCTCCGCAGAGCCTGGAAGAGCACCAGGGACTGCAGGCTCCAACTTCAGCACCTTCCTCAGCGGCTTCCCGGGGACAGATCCTCTGACTGGGCCTGAGCAGGGCCTATGTATGCATCAATTCCAGGTACCGACCTGCTGCAGGGAGCTCTGCCCGACCTGGGGGGGCAACCATTCAAACCCTGGCTTATCCCACTCTAATTCTAATATTTCTGTACATTTCCACTTGTTTCTGTTGCATTTATTTAATGCCTAAGCTTTGAGGCTGATGTTATGATGCTCATTGTTTAGATTGGACAGTGGAAATAGGTCCCTACCCCACCTTGCTTACAAGATAGAGAAGGATGTGGGGAAAAACAGATGTGTGTGGAGGCAAAGTGGCTTGCCTGAGATGAAGCCAAGTTTCTGTGGCAGAGCCAGGGGAAAAAAATCCCCTTATACTCGGATGTTCTCCTCACTTGAGAGCATCCCCTCCATTTTATGGAAGGGAAGACAGAAGTTGACTGTTGAAAGCCACAGAAATACGTGCAAGATTTGCTGGGCTGTGAGATTTCCTCCCTGTCTTGTACTTGGGCCTTACTCTAGTGACAGAGAAGCAGTAATTTAGCTCCAAGTCTTCTTATTTCTTAAAAGTGAACACGGACTTTTCTTACTCTTATCCCACAGGCTTTTGGGCTGTCAGAGGTGACGTCTCCGACGTTTGGAGTATCACGCCTAGTGGGAGAGGGAAACTGAAGATTTCTGCAGTGGGCTTGCACAGAAACCACAGACAAAGTAAAGCTTCTGCTATTAATGCGTGGAGGGATGCCCTAAATTCCTGGTGGGGGGTGGGGTTAAAGGCTTTTTCAGCACCATTTCGGCTGTTTTGGGAAAGAAGTAGGAGTTTTGTGTTGAGGGCATGACTTGCTGGCCTGCTCATGGGGCTGTCGTTGGAGCATGGAGGTGAACAAGCTCGACAGTTCTTTTGTTAGCTCTGTGCCTTCTGCCATGACTTGTTAGTGACTGTTATAAATCGCTCGGTCCCAAAATAGGATTATAATCAAAGTTTACAATTTATTAAAAGAATAGAGGTAAGCAAACAGCGCTGGGTGTGTCGGGAGTCTCTGCTCCACCAGGACGCACACCAGTTACCTCAAGTAGCTGATTTTTATGCTCCTAGGCTGATACATATTCATTGCTACTTCTAAAAAAAAGCTTACACAGCGTCCCCTGCAAGTTTTGTCTCCTAGCCGTCCTTCGGCTTCTTTCTTTCTTCTCCTTAATCTCCTGGCCACCTGGCCAGATATCAGGGGCTTGCACAGTGTCCCGTTCAGAAGCCATAACAGTCACCAGTTGTTAGCAGCTGTTCTGAAACCCCCAGACATCAGAGACCTCAAAGAAAGAACATACAAACACAAATAGCTCTCTACTGACACTTCACGTGTTGTTAAAACACTCCCCACAGGCCGTTCACAGGGACACTCCAGTCACACCTATAGCAGTGCTAAATCAACCACAAAGAAGGCAAAAAGGCTGTAAGTGTTAGGAATAAGAGTTAGGAATAACAACAGCAAATAGGCTCCTGGATTTGAGGAATATTTCTGAAGATTTGATAAATTGACTTTAATGAGGGGGAGACACATCTGTGGAAGAATTAAATTGCCAGCGCAGGACCCAGAGACAGACAGAACTGCTCTCTGTTGACACAAATTGTTAAAATATTCCTTTGCAAGGTACAAGAACTATATACATTAACCACTCTGTTTTTCTTAGACTATATACAAGGGTATGTAAGGCAGAAGGTCACATTCATCATACCATGCGGCTCTAGCACTGTTCCATACTGACACGAATCAGATGAACATATCTCACAGTGACTTTTTGAGGGCAAACAAACCATTTTTCCCCTTGCTCTAACTGCTGGGAGCCTGTTTCCCACCACCTCTTGTCCCAAGAGCAGGCTTTGCACGTCCTGGCTGCAAAGAACCGTGCTTCAGGGGCTGCAGGTGAAGGAGCAGTTTGAGCTCAAGAGCTCACGAGCTCTGCTTTCCTCTGCTCACCCTGCCTGGCATAAGACAACTGCGTCAGTCGCTTTGTGTTTCCTCCCAGCCTTCCTGCTCTAGGTGCTCTCCAGATAATGGCGAAGATGGTGAGAAGAACGTGTGCGTTCTGTTCGGAAGGGGAGTCCGGCTCCATAATGTACATTGCCGAAGAGCAAAACATTGCAGCTCATCGGGATTGTTTGGTGAGTGTTTTTTTTTTTGGTTGGTCACTGTGCAGAGGAAATGGAGAAGCACAAAAGTGGAAGTCTCCGCTGCCTGTTGATTTTTTTGTAACTTTACAATGGCTTTTGTCCCTCCTTTTTTGTTTGGGTTGAAACAGAAAATAGTCTTCATGATATTCTGCAGCTTGACTGCAGAAAGTTTGGCTTCAAACATAACAACAAAACTAGGTACATTGCTAGGCAAGAGGGGGCAAGGGAAATAACGCTGGATTTGTGGTAAAGTGCACAAAATTTGTGAAAGTGGAATGCTTTTAATTGCTGCCTCATAGTTGTACAAACAGCCTAAAGTGGCTATTGTGTGTTGCCTGATAAGAATCCAGACCTACAGGTCTGGCTCACACTGGAATGAGGCCCAGTCGCTTTCCTGAAACAGGCACAAACTTGCTTCTCCTCACAAATTTCTCTTTGTCAGTGTCACTGGGTACCCAGCAAACCGAAGTACTGGGGGAGAGTGGAATTGCCACAATGGGCAAAAGGGCGTGTTGCACGTGCTTCATGTCTGTAGGAAACTCAGCTAAATAATGACCTGGGAGAAAAATGGCTTCTAAATTCAAAGGCTGGTTACCCAAACCAACCTGAAAAGCCGTGCAAAAACAACGGGGACCGGTCAGGGTTTTGGAGAGGGGTAGGGCATGGCTGCAACAGCTTGAAGTGTTGATCTCTGGTGTTTCCTTCTGCCTGTTCCTGGTCAACCTGAGTTCTAGATACATGCAGTCGGTAGGAATCGATGGATTTCAGACACCGAATTGAATCTTAGAACACATTCACTTATTTGGCTGTCAAAATGCCTCTCCTTTGTTCTGGCATTTTATTGAAGCTGGCTCTTGGTGTGCAGAACCAGTTACAGATTGCATATTCTCCCTTCAGGGAGAGTTTCTTAGTGCAGAAGGGGCGTCTGCTCCTTTCTGGCTTTCACTGTTCCAGCCTTATCCTCACGGGTTTTATGTTTACATCCTTATTTTTCTTCAGATTATTTAACAATCCTTCAAAAACATAACTATTTCACTGCGTTACTTGGCTGTTTTGTTGGAAAATGTTTTTTATTAGGGCTCTAAACTTGGTTAAACGTTGGAACTCTTGGTTTGTTTTGTTTTTTGTTTTTTTTTTAACCCAACAACTTTACGAATGTGCCTGCTTTAGGACGAGCACCCTGTTTGGCTTCTTCCAGCTATCACCTTCTGAGCAGGCAGACTGTGGTTGCCAGTTGATAGAAGTTGTTCAAGGTGTGGAGGTTTGTCAGCCAAGCAGCTGCTGCGCCTTACTCTGGGCAGCCTGGAGCTTTCTTTGTTCACACTTCTTACTAATTCACCTTCTCACCTCGTTACCTTTCCTTGGTTCAGCTTCAGGTTAGGTGAAAATGTGCGAGACCAGATGTACCCTCCCCTTCTTTTTCTCTGGAATATATTGATGACCACGTCTCTCTATTAATCCTTAACGTCGTCTCTTTGTCTCTAGCTATTTTCCTCAGGATTTGTGGAATCTGAAGAGTATAACCCAGAGAATCTGGACATCAGGTTTGACGTGGAATCCGTATTGAATGAACTCAAGAGAGGAAAGCGCCTGGTAAGGCAGTTTCTTTCGGAATCTGCACTTAGTCCTGCCCCGTAGCATGCACCCTGCCACCCTTTAGTACTGAGCTGTTTGGTCAGTTTTATGTTTGAAAAAAAAAAAATGCAGAAAAATACTTGGAAGTTACAAATCTGGAAGTTACAGATTTAGAGTTACAAACATTGATTGGATGTTACACTTGCTGAAGTTTAGTTCTTTTGTTGTTATTGCTAATTGGATTTTTTTTTCTGGCCCTTTTTTCCTAAGATAAAAGAGTAAGAAGAGACTTTCCAAGAGACTAAGCTAGTGCCAGAAACAAATTGATGCATTTTGTAAGTGTGAAGGGAAACACCTTCTTTTTTTAGCAGGAGGGAGGTTATTTATATGAGGTTTTCTTGTTGGTTTTGTACTCGGCTCCCCTTCTTCCTGGATGGAAGTCTTTTCTTTATGAAGTTCGTCTAGGGAACGTTTTACAGTCATAGAAACAAGCAGTTGTGGAAAACCACGCCCTGGTTGTTACAGGGGACTTGAAACACCCCGATATTTGCTGGGGAGACAGCACAGCTCAGAACAAACGGCCCAGGAGGTCACTGCAGAACACTGCAGATAATTTTGTGATTCTGGAGGTAGGTGAGCCAGCAAGGAGAGGGGCGCTGCTGGTCCTGGCGCTCACGGAGATGGTCTAGTTGGAAACGGGAAGGTTGCGGGCAGACTTGGCTGCAGTGACCACGAGATGTTGGAGTTCAAGATCCTGCGAGGAGGAAGCAGGGCAAAAAGTCGGATTGTAACCTGGGATTTCAAGAGAGCCAACTGTGACCTCTTCAGGGACCTAATTGGAGGAATCCCCTGGGATGGGGCTCAGCACAACGTCCTCCAAGCTCAGGATCAGCACGTCCCTACGAGAAAGAAGCTGAGCAAGGAGGGCTGTGTGGATGGGCAAGGAGCTCTTGGGGAAAACCGAAGAAGAAAGTGGACGTGATGGGGAAGAAGGGACAGACCGCTTGGGTGGCATAGAGGAACGTTGTCAGAGAATGCAGGGATGCAATGAGGAAGGCCAAGGCCTGGTTAGAATTAGATTTAGCAAGAGACAGCAGGGACAACAAGAAGGGCTTCTTCAAATACAGCAGCAGCAAAAGGAAGACTGAGGAAAACGTGAGTGTGCTGCTACATGAGGCGGGTGACAGCAGATACAGAGAAGCTGGGGTTACCGAATGCCTTCTTTGCTTCAGTCTTCACTGCTAAGGCTGCCCCCACGCACTGCTGAGCCCAGAAACGAGAAAAAATCTGGAGAGAAGACTTTCCCCTGGTTGAAGAGGATTGGGCTAGAGGTTATTTGGGCAAGCTGCACACCCACAGATCTATTGGCCTGGATGGGATGTACCCGATGGTGCTGAGGGAACAGGCAGGCGTTATCACTAAGCCTGTCATCTTGGAAAGGTCTTGGAGAACAGGAGAGGTGCCTGATGATCTCTGGAGGTCCCTTCCAACCTCAGCCATTCTGTGGTTCCGTGAACATAAATATGAGCACCCACTCCAATGGGCATTGGAATAACTTGATCAAACTTGGGATAAGAGATGAAAGTTGCCCAGTTCCCTCACGTGGCTCTTCACCCTGATTAATTTGGGAAATTGAGGTCAAATAGCAGCAAGGTGACTGAAATGCTGGACGAGGTGGGAGTTTGCTGCTGTGAACCTGCCCGATGCCTTCCGCAGAGGAGGCTCACAGTGAAATATTTGATCTTCCTATGCTTGTTTTGTAAGCCTCCTTTTTTTTTTCGGTAGCTATTTGAGATGCTTGCCTGCTAACCATCGTTTTATTGTAGGTGTGCAACTTCTGCCGCAAGAAAGGAGCCACGGTGGGGTGCGAGGAGAGGGCCTGTCGCAGGAGCTACCACTACTTCTGCGCGCTCTGCGACGACGCAGCGATAGAAACCGACGAAGTGAACGGAGTCTACCGGTACTTAACCAAGTCTTTTCTAACCCATTATTCTCCCGGTTTTGGTTTTATTGTTAGGAAGACAGACTTAAACTGTCAATTTTTTAACTCCTTATTTTTAGAAAAGAAATAGGTTCTCTTCCAAGCGTTGAAGAGACTGAGCTGAAAGATCACTAGACCAAAATGAGGAAGCCTGGCTTTACTGACCACCTAGCTAGTCTTCAAGGAGAAAGATTTTTATTAAACTTCAAATGAATGATTCCAATTCTCAATTTCTCTTGCCTCAGAAGCTTCAGTAAAGGTGCTCTCAGCACAGACCAGGCTGTCGTGCTTCTGGATCTGTTCATGTTAGACAAATGCTAGCAACTGCCCATCCACGTGCTAGCAGAGAAGTCTGTATTCCCATCCAAGATCTTCTTACATTTCAAGTACGTTGCTAGCATTAACACCATTAAACAGATTTTAAGTAAATTTCCTGCCCTCGGACTGCTTACATTGCTGATAGCAGACGGAAAAAGTTGTTCAGAGGAAGGAATGATAATCTGCAGAGGAAAGGGGTTGAGAAAGTAGGACTCCAAAAGGAATGAGGAAGTTAGAGGAAGGGTCTGAGGTCCGTAGACACAACCCAGAGCATTCACTGCTGGGTAAGGCCAAAGAGGTCACAAGCTACGTTAGTCTTAGATTAATCTGGTAGACTGTCGAATCCCTAGTAGCCCTTGGCTGCTTTGGTAGGGCTCTCACTCTGACATAAACAGATCTTTCTGTAAGGATGTAGGGCCAGCTCTGTAGGAGGATGTGTTCAGTGAGTGTTTGTAGAGTTCCCTGGAGCCTGCAAAGCTGAAGGAAAGTAGATGGAAAGTTAGGAACTTGTGTGATCGCAGAATAAAGGACTCATCGTAGTGCTTTAGGAACAACACCTTGGGCTTAAGCGTATCTAAAAGAAAGAGAATTCCTTCCGTGGGGGAGAGCTGGTGTTTTTAAATGAATTGCCATCTCTGAGATCAGCAGCAGTGGTTATCAGAGCAAACAGCAGAATGAAAAAGAGAAGGCGTGCAGTGCTTTGCAAAAGGCAGGTCACAGCACAGGTGGGGAAACGAGCACCATTTCCAGTGCCACCTCTCAAAAATTATGGTAGGGAAACCAGAAATTCAGGTATGTAAGTAATGTGCCTCCAGTATGTAGTTTTCTGACTAAATTCTTAAGCATTTATATATCTTTTTCGTGCATCAAAATGAATTTAATGCAAAAAACACTGGTTTGTCAAGGAAATAGACTACTTTTGTAAAGCCAGCACTTATATTTTTTTTAACAAAAATGTGGTTCCCTTTATAAACTGCTTCTAAACACTTGAGCTTTAGTCTTGGCAAATAGAGATTGGTAATGAAGAGATCAACTAAACCACACTCTTGACAAGGCAATTCTGTTTAAAAAGTGATTTGGGATCCTTCTGTAAGAAAGGCATCTTAGAGAAGCTGGTTTATGTTCTCTACACATTACAGTATCCAAAGACAGGGAGGATTTCCAGCTCTGTTTGTTTCATTTTACCTCTTCCAAGAAATTCAAATCGCTCTCCTAAAAAAAGGAGGAATTATTCCCACCTCGTGTATAGAGTACTCGGGGATTTTATCTTGACAGCATTAATTGAAACAAGTTACTGAATGAGATCAGAGTACCCCAGATCAAACGCTGTCCTGGTGTTTGGCAGCCAAAATGCACCCGATGTGATTTACACCGTCCAAACACGGTGGGGTGATTGAACACCAAAGCTTTGAGTCACCAGTTCCGAGCCCGCTGAGGCTCCAAAAGTAAAACCAGGAGCTTGTGCATGTGTGAGGCTTCGCAGCGGGTGCTCTACCAAGTGGGTAATGCTGAACAACCGTCCTGAGAGTTTTTTAGACCATCTTTTGATTTACATTTACTGAATAGAGGGGAAAATATTTGTTGAAATCAGTCAGCGTTACTCTGTTTACGTATTTATTAATCCTGTCTCTCTTTTTCTTAAAACCGAACTTAAATTGTAGAGTGTTCTGCCCAAAACATGACCCAGGCAATAGGACCAATCACTATGGTGAGTTCCTTTGATGGCTTCCTTGATTTGTATCTGTTTTAAAAGTTTGTATCCTACAGCTGATAACTCATTTGAACAAAACAAATGTTATTCCACCCTTCTATCGAGCGGTGGACTTCGAATCTTGCAGGAGGGGTTTGGCTGAAATCCAGGGGTACAGGGCAGAAAGCAAGAAGGGTTTTTGAATTAGGAAATGCTGGTGTTTGAGCATCCCCAAATCCCCTCAGAACCTGACACGGAGCTGATCCCTCATGGAGTTATTCTGTAGGTAGGCCCAAGCAGCTCTTAAAAACGAGCGTGAAACAGGAGGCTCGTGCTAATGAGGGGTGCAATTGGCAAAGCAAGGGCTGTTACAGGAATGCTCACCCTGGGATTTGTGCCTGCAGTTGCGTTGAAATGTTCACATTTGCATCTTCCGTACCCGCTGCGGTACGTGGCAAACCCAGCCTTTCATTCTGAAGGATCCCAAAGAGCTTTTTAAGTGTAACCGAAGGGTTATGCGCTCCCTGCTTAAGGCTTGCTTCCTCTGCTGGAGAAATGCAGTTTGGTTTGGCAGTCCTGGTGCTTGCAGACTGAGGCAGCTGGGAATCACCGAATTGACCACGTGGGTTCGGGTCTGAGTTAGCCAAATGGGGGTGCTCGAAATGGGGTGGGTCCTAGAGGAGCCTTTGCTTCCAGATTGCATTTAACTCAGTCAGCTGAGCAGTAACACCAACTCTGGCTGACCGTTTTGGGGGTCTGGCTTCACCCTAACACCCCCTAAGGGCCAGCTGGGGTGGTTGTTGGTTTCCAACGTGACATGAGCCCAGCCCTGCAGACCACCTGGGGCAGGCTAAGCCAAGACTGGGCTGTGTGGGAACAGGAGCTGGTGTAAAAGGGCTGCCTCTCCGGGCACGTTTTCCCTGGTAGCCTGGAGAAAGCTACGAGACAACATCCCCATGTTCTCCATACCTGCACCAGCAGTTCCTAGCTCGCTCCAAAAGAGGCCACCCAGCTTTATTTTGGGTGCTGTGGCAGCCTATCATTTCCTTTCAGGCCATGAAAATAGCGAATGTAAAGCACTGGCTCCCTCACCCTCACAGAAAGGGGAAAAAAAGAACTTGTTGTGACAGCCTTTTCTGTACCCGCAGTAACATCCCATTCCTAAGGTGATTTCTAAACAGGAATTAACTTTCTGTGCATTACCCAAGGCATGGAGGGGGGCGTGCAAACCCCCTGCATTTAAAACCCTCTGGCTTTTGGTGGCTGTGCTCTTCTCCAGCTTTCTCTGCCCCCTGGCTCGTGCTCCTTGCCAGTTTCCCTTCTCTGCTTGGGAGGCTGCAGCTATTGTCAGCAGCTGCCAGTTACGGAGTTGGAAGGAGCCGGCTGCGTGCGGATAGAGGGCAGACTGAAAGCAGAGATCTCCATGCAATGCCAATAAAAGGGCTTTGTAGCTGAAATAATAAAAGCTCACGAGTAAAATCGCTTCCTATGAGGAGCTCCTGAGGTTATCCACGAGGTAGATGTAGCAAAGAAACATTAATGCCGCTTGTATGCCTGTGGGACACCTGAAATAACTCCTTGTGGAGCCTTAGTTCTGAGAGTGTATTGACATAAACAAGGATTGATGGGGAGAAAAGTCGTCTTTCATGAATTTATCACGTTTTGCCTTAAGTTCTTATCATGCAGAGGTGCTGCTGCTGCCAGGGAGGGTCAGTGCCCTCTGCCACAGCCAAAAATCTTACGTTATAATCTGGGGTTTGCTTTGTAAGGGGTTCAAAAGACAGCGATGTCCTAATGCTGTGGTGATTTGCGCTTCCTGGTGATTCAGGCTTGTCCGTTTTCTTAGATGGACATGAGGTGGATTCCGCTGAAAAATCAGGTATTTGGGAAAGCCGAAACGTATTCTTGTGTGGCTGCCCAAGTGCCTGAGCTCTGTAGCCTGCTGGGGAAGGGGAGAGCTTGAGCTGTATGAAATTGTCGGCCGAAGGCTGACAGTGTAGTGACCTCGCTGTCTCTTGGTTTGCAGATGCAGCTAATAAGAGGAAAAGGCACGCACTGAAGTCTTCCACCATCACAGAACAAATGGTAACTCCGCATTTCGGTAGCTCTAAAACACAAATCCACATCTGCCACAGCAAAGGGCTTCAGTGAAGTATTTTTGGCAGTGTATTAAGGAGGAGACTTGCTCACAGAGGCGGCGACTTTTCCTTCGCAGCTGCCTGGTTTTGATCTTCGTTGTTTGGTCTGAACAAAGCCACTTGCATTCCGAGCTGCTTCTGGCAGAGCCAGCGCTGCCCTCAGGCTGCCTGGCACAAGTGTGATGGGAGCTTCTGAAGCAGTGGCTGTGCTCTTGACATGCCAGAAGGAGCTTTTTTGAGGAAATCAGGCCAAACACTGCAAATAAAGAAGCTGGGGGGTTCCGTGTATGTTTAGGCACTGCAGGATAAACTGCTTGCCCTTGTCCGAGTGGTGCAGCTCTTAAACTGGTGGGGCGTTGTAGTAGAGATAAGAATCATTTGTGGTACTGAGGTATGATTCGGAGCAGCAGAGAATGACTGCATCCCATCCAAAGGAAGAGAAAAATATTCCTCCTCTCCTCTCAGATCATTTTTAGTATTATATCTGGCCTGGAGAATTAGGTGTCACTTAGGCTGGGAGTTAGCAGCAGCCATCAGTTACATCTGTGCTGTTTGCATACACGGTGTGAGGGCAGTAATAGTAATTGGGCAGGGCGATATCCTTCAGGATGGGCTTTGCTTAGGAGATTTTGCTTTGAAATGACTTTTGCTTCCCTTTTTAAAATCCTGAATGTCTGGAGAGGAGTATTGTTAAGCGTGTGGGGAAGCTGACTTTACTCACAGAAATATGGGCTGCTTTTTCTCTCTGCTAATGTGGAGTTAAGACACTGCAAATAGAGCAGGAAATGTCCTTAGGATGCAAAAATGCATTGTTTTGATTTTCTTCCAGAGCACAGACAAAACAGCAGAAGAGAACAGATTACGAATATTAAAAAGAAAAAACAGCAGGCACAAAGGTGGGACCGGCTTCACGGACGAGCGAGCTGCGTGATACCGCGATGATGCTCGGAGCTTGGGGGTGTTAGGGAGCACTGCTGTTGAAAACGGCCCTTTTTAGCATTTCCCTGAGACAAAAGGCCCGCTGTTCTGGCAAGGGAGCAAGAGCCTGGTTTGCAGAACGGCCGTGCGGGTTTTAATTGCCCAGCAGGGTGTTCTGAGCACCTTGAGCAAGAGCGTTCTGGCTCCCTGGGCAGGAACCAGGCTTTGTAAATGCTGCTGCTGCCCCTGCATGCTGTTTTGTGTTCCCTTTCAATCCCAGGCGTGCGCAGGTTGGTTAACACAGCCGTCCTTCAGCTCCGCAGTGTGTGTTACCCCAAAGTCCTGCTGTAATTGCTGCTCAGAGTTACGCTGCTGCTCAGAAATTTAGAAAACTTGAAAAATGTTGTTTTTAATGGAGGCTGGTGGATTCCTCTGAGCAGTCTGGCAGCTTTTTGCTTTTGGATAGCCCGCTGAATTCCCACAGTGGTCCACAGGGGCTCCCTACTGAAACCTGTCGCGGAGCTGCTGTTCCGAGATGAAATAAAAAACCTACCCATTTCCTTAGCAATAAAAATCTGACAAAGCAGGACCATAAAATGGACTGTAACAAGGTTATAGAAATAAACGAGGTTAATGCCTGGATCGCTCACAGTAAATGTAACCTCAGTTCTCTTACCAAGTCCAGTATTGGTTCACTTCTTGCGCTGTTTTCTATCCTTTACCTGCTCGGTCCATGGTGTGGTCTGGAGGATTTGAAGAAGAAAAATAAAAAAAAACAAAGCAAATAATCTGCTTTTCCATGCCAGGGGTTATTAGGTGCTTTAGGAGTGATGCATTTGGAGTTGGGGAGGCAAAGTTTTAATTTCTGAAGTGAGTGGGTGAAGCCCACGCAGCTGTGCTCAGGACCCCTCGTGCCTAAGAGTGCGTGTGCTCTGTTTTACCAGTCCGAATAGACTTCCTCAGGAAATGCAAGCAAGCCGGGCTGCTGGATGACATCTTTGAAGAAATGCTGGACACGCTGCACTTGGCACAGGAGAAGCTGATGGATGACAACACTTCGGAAACAGGTACAGGGCTTTCTGAAGCCACCTTTTAGCCACTGGCGTAAGCACAGACCTCTGCTCCCAGGCTCTGGAGGAGGGAGCGGTTACAAAGAGAACAGGAAGGGGTTTTTTATTTGGATTGTAAGGAAGGACCATCTGCCTGTTTAAATCTGTGCTCTTTTGAGGGAAAAATCCTTGAGTCTGAATGTTTCAGCACTTTGGGTGATTACTTAAAACTTCAATGTCAAATATTAGCTTGTATTTGTTTTTTGGGGAACTGTTTGTATGAAACACTTTGTTCTTGGAGGATTGTATAATACTACTTTGTTCTCAGAACAAAGTAATTAAAGAAAAAAGAAACAAACCTTCCTCTCCCGTTGTCCTCCCAGCTTTACACAGTTATGAACAATGCTTTTGGTTAAGCAGTGCTAATTTTTGCAAATAACTGAAGCATGTGCACGGAAAGTGAAACCTCACACCTGGCCAAATCTCTGTCGTGAGCAGCTCAGGTGTCATGGTGCTAGGGGCAGTAGTGAAGTCCAGGACACGTTGGGGTTTCAGAGGACCTCACCGTTAGGCAAACCTCTTAGGGTCATGCAAACTCTGTGGGCTTCCAGTGAGATGAAACACAAAATGCCTCACTTAGGAAATGCAGGCATAAATCTGGGGTGGCAGAGAACGTAAAACACTGAGAGCCGTGTCTCGTGAAAACAGGTGTACAGAACTAGAAGTGATACGGACGTGAGTGACTTTGTTATCTTAAAACCTTGAGCAATTGCTATAATTAATTACTGTTTTGTGCTGCACTTAGCGTTGGGCAGTGCGTGAACTCGAGTGTTCTGTAAACCTTTACTCTGTGGTATCCTCTCTTCTTCCAGAGTATGAAGAGACAGTGATGTCACTCTTCGACTGCGGGCTGTTTGAAAACATACTGACCAATATTCATTCAGGTACGTGAGGTGAGCTGTCAGAACAGCAGCGCTCGGTATGGTTTGGGGCACTGACGTTGTTCTGAGGATATGGATAAAATCACAGCACCACAGAATGTCCCAAAGTGGAAGGGGCCTGGTGCACCCCAGGGCACGCTGCTGGCTCGTGTCCAGCTTGCTGGGACCACAACCCCCAGAGCCCTTTCTGTGGGGCTGCGTTAACAGGATTTTCCCCTCGTGAACCCTTGTCACCAGTGACCGTGTTGTCATTCAAATCATTTTAAATCAACTCCCAGAACGATCTTCACAATTTTAAATGATCACAAAGCGACTGTTTTACAATCGAGCACTACAAACAGAGCTTGCCTGGAACTGAAGGCAATTTTGATAGGTTTTGGAAAGGGAGGTGGGATTGCTCAAAGAAGGCAATGGAAACGTGCAAGAGCAGTCACTGGGGAGCACCAGAGCGGAAGGAAACTCTAGGGCATGAACTCAAGCCTCAGCTGCTTAAGCAGCGTTACAATTCTTAGTTGTCATGTTCCAACTACAGCCAGGTGGGTCTCTTCTTACACCTTTCTGACAGGGATAAAAGCAAAAGTTAGAACAGGGTTTGTAACTGTTAAGAGAGGGAAGTGGGAGCAAGTCAGCTAACACTGAAGTTCGGTGTTCGAAGCTGGTGTTTGCTGTTTCCCCCCGTTTCCTCTTTGCTCGCCTGCAGAAAGCCAGGCTCCTCCCTCGTCTCCTGTTCTTCCTTTTGAATTCCTCTTCTGGAGTGGGAGTGCTGCTGTTTGCATTTCCCTCAGCGCAAGGTTCTGGCAGTGCCTCATTGGAGGGGAACTGATGCGTGGCTGCTCGTAATCCCTGGTGTGACACGACCTTAGGTCACACTTGCTTCTTGCACAGCTGCTTCCATTATTGCATCCTTCTCTCAGCTTACAGGGGAAATTCTGGTGCTGGCATCTGGGTACAGCCCTGTGGTTCTGCTGTGTGGAAGCTGTCCCCCCTCCAACTCCCCGCTACTTCAGCAGCTCAGTTCTGAACCACACGCTTTTTCTCTGATACAATTGAGGCTACTTTTAATTCCGAGGGCAATATTGAAAAACATGTCGAAGCTGGTTCCAGACCTTAACCAAGGAGGAGCCAACCTCTCCCATCCTTCTCCCCAGTCTGTATTCTAAGCTGTATGTCACAGCAGATAAAAGTCTAGGACTAAGTCCTGCAGGACTCCTACGGATACTAGAAACATGCATTCTCTCCCTTTAGGTTCTCTCTTCAGCGATGTGAAAGGTCTCCAGTCTGTTACCTGCCTTCTTGGGGAAGTGCTCCCATACGCCACTCGTTCTCATCATTGAGATCTTTCTCTGGGCTATTTCTGTTTTTGCCTGTATTTGGAATTAGAGAACTGGAGCCGAGGGCTTCCACCTGTGCTTCACCCCTAAGTTGAACGCAGTAACACAGTGCTCACAGTTGTTTGTTTTTCTCCAAGATATTTTCTCCATCTCTCACTTCTAGCACCTAGCCAGAAACAGGTGCATTAAATGCTCCTAAATCGTGTTTTTAAGAAACTAGCTGTTGACTTCTGTTATCCAAACCCATCCCTTTTTAAGCTTAACATTTAGTTGACTAAAATCCATTGGACTTCTAAATTTGCTTTATGTAATTCAGGGGCGTTAATTTAAAAAATTAAAAATGCATGTTTATGGAAAGTGTCCCTGTGCTGTGTGCTCTGAAAAGTTGTTAGGAATGCAATGAACTGGCTTGTAGCTTTTTATTTGGTGGCTTACATTGTAACGCAGCTGGTTTTGAGATACAGTAGGATGGAAAACAAATGCTGTGCCTCTGTGACTTACAGCCTGTGTTTTCTTTTGCCACTTCAATTCTTTGTCTCCCTACGTGTTAGTGAAGAGACAAGGGCACAGAATGTGAAGCTGAGGACTTGGCTTCTGAATATTTGCATATAAAAATAAAATAAAAGCTTTTATCCCTTTCCTTTCTGTAATAGGGACAGAGGAAAAAATCCAGGAACTTCTGGAAAGCAGGAAACAACTGGATCACCAGATTGAGCTACTGCAGGATTTAAAAGAAGTCGTCCTTCCCCCCCAGGAGAGCGCTGCCAGTACCTCCAGTACAGCATCTGAATAACCCCTGGGGCTGTCTGTAACGGTGTCAATACTGAGAATTTTCTAAGGATAGAAAACATAGAGCACGTCAGGTCAGTGTGTAAGTGATTTCCTTTCCTCCCCAAAGTTAGGGACACAAGCAAAGACTGGGTGTTTTACTCATTTTTTATACCTCACTGTTGCAATAACTTTAAGTTGTCCCTGTCTTTAAATTTTATTGTGGATAAATGAGTGGTATATACCAAATTTAGCTCCTTTGAAGCTGAAGAGAACCCCTTCCCCCAGGACTTTCTTTCCTCAAAGACAAGGGAGCATCAGCTGCCAGAGAACACACTTCAAAGTCACTTTACTCGCAGCAGCCCTCTTCTGCCTGTGGGAGGTGGCTGCATCACTGTCTGCATATAGACGGTGCTGTTTTAAGAACCACAGTGCTGCTTTGGCTTGCCAAAGAAGATAAATTAGCAGAAGTTGCATTCAAAGACACCTTCTGAATTAGAAAGAGTTTTTTTAAATTGAGCATACATTAAGCAGTCAATGAGGACTTAGAGCTGCTGTAATGACAAGGGTAAAATGGTGTTTGCAAGCAGGCCGGCAAGGGCTGGCTGCCATGCTCCAATCAAAATGGAAACGGATCTCAATCAGAGGGACTGTCTCTTCCTTTCTCCATTAAGGAAGGCTGTAACTTCTGTGTTTTAGCTGAAAAGCTACTATATTAAAAGTATTTGAATACAGAAAAGCATTGTTTAGCTACAAAAGGGTAACTTAATAAAACTTTTTTAAGAAAGCTGTGTCTTTAGGACTGTCTGTTATTAGGAAACCAAGATGTAAATTCACCGATACGGGAATGAAGTAAAAGCTCACGTGACTTACACCAATTCTTTTTCCCTTCATGCTGCAGCAATCTGGATTACTGACAAGGGCATTTGCATACTTTGCTCTTCCCCTTGCCCCCCTCACTACCTAGACCTTTAGTCTAGAGCCTGCAGTCCAGAACAAGTTGTTTATTAAAAACAATTTGACACATGTGGAAGCATTTCTTCACATGCTCCTTGGCTGAGCTCTTACTGTCATGCAGCAGGAGATCCCTGGCCTCTATCAGCGCTGCAGAACTCCAGGCTCTGCAAGAAGAAGAAGCAGATCTGTGGTTAATCTCATCCTAAACTTTACACTTTAAGTTCTAGTTCTCTGTTCTGCCCTGCATTTGGGGGAAGATGTTCTACCCTGCATTTGGGGTCGTTCCTGGTACTTGCCTGTGCTGACTCACATGCATGGTCTGGGAGGACCGTGGTGTTCAAATCAACATATGTACTGCATGTAACACAAAAACTTGAAATTTTCTTCAAAGAAGTTGGCTGTTGAACATGTACAAAAAAGTGAATTTTATTACATTTGGTTTAAATTTATACAATACTTCAACAAAAAACAAGCTTTCAGAACAGTGTGCCCCTTTCCCTCCAAGGGAACCAACGCAGTCCGACATCAGAGGAAAACCTTCCATTGATCATTATAAACATTGCTTGAACAGATTACGAAGTATACATTACAACTCGTAGTAAGACATATTCAAAGATAGAACTTTACTTCGGATTCAGTCTGCTAGGTACCCCTTTCTTTAGGGTTCCTGCTGCAGGCTTTGAGGATCCGTCGTTTTTGAACGCTTTTCTCAGCACCGAATGCGCTTGGTTAATGACACACAGCAAATGGCGATGTCATTCACGATCATGCAGCTGCAATAAAAGATATCCATGCCATTTGCTTCTTCATAATCCCGGGGAGTTAATGATTTCAGTGACATCGTTCAGTGGCTCATAATCCCAAAAGGCCAGTGCCTCAAGTAGTAAATTGAAAATATTAACAGGTAGCTCTACACGTGTGATTACCTCACCTAAAAGTCCCTACAAACACCTGGTGTCCTCTGCACACGGCAGTCTTTCCGTCTGAAACCTTGCACTGGTTCCACCATCCAGATTTTCTAAATGCAAGTGAGTATTTTGCTTAACATTTTTTAACAACAGCTCACTCTTGAGCACAGACAATTTTTTTTTTATTTTTATTTTTTGCTGTGGCCTTCCACAGCTCCTGGTACAAGAGGCCACTAACACTTGCTTCTTCCACCTGTGCAGTTACACCAACCCGTGGTAACCACAGAAAACCCTACGAACACCCGTAACTTACAGCCTTGATTCAGTTCCTAAAGGCTCCACATTTACTGGCTTTAGCAATGAATTCCTTTAGCAGGGGACCATCCATTTGCCAAAATGCTGTAGTTTGTGTCACGTCTGTCAAATGATTGACACAAAATTTAAAGCAGAATTCCTCTAAGTCCTAAACAGAAAAAAAAAAAAGAAAAAAGTCTCATTATCTTTCTTCCATGACAGAAAGTTACATTCAGTCAGGCACTGATGCCTTTCTAAGCTTTATTTTTACAGAGAACCAGACAAATAGATTAACCCAGTGGCTTTCAACCTCCCCTCTCCCAGTGTCACTACATAAATGCAACAAGAGAAGAATGATTCTACTCACATAACATGGCTACAAAGACAGTTTGGTTCTCCCTATATAGCTGCAGCCCTGAGAGGCAGCTATTCTGAGCAATACACGTATGTATTTTTCAAGTTTCCCAGCCTGAAAAGTTCCATCTGTATTCACTGACAAGTATTAAAACCCAGTACAAATAGATCTTAGGGTAATGCAATACATAACCAGGACAGTGGATTAAGAGAACTCGGCTCTTTCATTCCTCATTATGAACTCCAGTCCCCATACAAGCCTGCTTGACTTCCTATTTAATTTATGACTTGTATAAAGCCTTCAAGTGCATTCACCCGGCTCAATGGAAGTGGCCACTAGGTAGTCCTAAAGCAAAGGGTAGGCTGAAGGCCTTTCTGTGCATTAGAAACAGACCTAGGTTACAAATGTGTTTCACACACATGCCAAAAATGATTCAAAAGAAACACACTGCGCTACAATGCAGCAGAACAAATTATTGCAGAAAGAGTGCTCTGGGTATGAGCCCACTGGGCAGGGCCTTCCCTTTAAGGATTAAAAAGGCCTCACAGGCACCATCATTGCACCCGCATGACGTCAGAGACAAAGGATGTCGAAAAACCAAGAGACAGCAGTTGCCAATATAACATTGACCAAAGAACGCTTCTGCTCAGATTATTTGTTTCCAGCTCCGCTGTTGAGGAGGAAACCTATTTTTGTGGTGCAGAGCTGAGTGAGCTGCAGTATGGAAGATGCCACAGCCTTTCTAGAACAGCAACTCCCCAACCTGCTCTAGTTCCTTGAGCACTTCATAAGTTCATGGAACTAGTGCTTCACACACCAGAACATGGCCTTCCTTAGCTTTGGCTCCTCAGCAGACTGGGTGCTGCCGTAGGGCATAAAAGTTTGCAGAGCTTTTAAGCCACGTGAGGTATGAAAGACTGATTAGTATTCACATTGTCACTTAAAAGTAATTATTGAAAGCTAGAGCCACTGCGTGCCAGTGAGTTCTTGACACAACAGTGATGTAAAAATATGTCCTGGCCTAAAACCAGGCTTTCTGAAGCTGCAGATCTTGACTTGTATGGCATCTGTGCAATGAAAAGAAGACAAGCTTATTAGAACTGAACACTGAGGGTTTTCTTTTTTTTCTTTTTAAGAACAGAAGGAACTGGCATTTCAAACAAAACTACATCATACGCATTCCAATATTTTGCACTGCTTTATTAAAAACTCAAATATCAAGTCAACGCAACAGAAGCATACAGTAAACAGTAATATTGTATTATTGATATGAAACTTTGGAAAGTTTAAAACTCAATATTAAGAACTATGAATTTTATTTGCAGATGGATGCACTCCCAGCAAACTGTACTTAATATAGACTTAAGTGAAAAAGGTACAATGTACATCCAATTATTTTTAAGCTTACAGTAAGAAGCCAAACCTGAACTAGTTTTAGCCACTTCAATCCAGTCAATCACCAAAGGAAAGTACAGGAAAGTTTCATGGCATGGGGGTGTTTTAAATCAGTGCAGTGGGTTCTTCTAACTGTTGTCTTCCAGACACACAGTCCCGTGAATGAACTACATCAGCCAAGCAATTTCAAACCCTGACCTACCATTACTACATTCTTTTTAACTTTTTTTTTTTTAAGTAAAAAGTTAAAAATAAAAATATAAAAAAAAAATATAAAAACCATCTCAGCACCACCCATTCTCTCCACATTTGGGCCATCCATTCTCATTTCACTTCCAGCTTCATTTAGCTAGTAAGGTACAGCCACGGCTCAGTAACTGGATTTCTTCTACCCTTTAGAAGCAGAATCAGTGATATACTGAAGACCCATTGCACAAACAATCTTCTGTAAGGCTAAAATATAGAAAGCTTCCTATTTTCCATGAACTCCCACCAATGAAATCTTTATTCACAGTGGTGCCTGAATTATGACTTCAGCTTGAGGGCAGCCCTTCAGATAAGGAACATCAAACTAGCAACAAACTATTAGGCTCTGAAGTAAGTTAGAGCATGATAGATATTAAGTGCAAGAAAAAGCACTGTATTCATTTACCGATTACCAAAACTGCTCTAAAATAGCAAGTTGAAACCAACCAGGCTGAAAATATGATGCGCAGATACTATTTCAAACACAAAAGGCTGAAGAAATCCCTGGAATATCTATTTGATCACAAAACTGCACACGTTAGTGATCTAGTTTTGAAGTCAGACATCCTGCAGGAAAATTTTGCTACCCTTTCTCCCATTTCACACACTTTCTCCATCTTCAAAGTGTACTAGGTCCATAAAAGAATTTTTATCCTGCCATTTCATCAACATTCTTTAACGACTGAAAGTGTATTTGACTGTAGTTAAACAAGTAAAAAAAAAAATAAATGAAAACCACACACCAAAACCCCAAACCTACCATCATGACATCACACACAACCCACAACCTTACAAAACTGCTTTCCGTAACATTGTAATTTTTGCTTTGTTTTTAAACCTTTCCCTTGTTTAAGATTTAGTGTTTTAACCTTCCCTTTTTTCCCCCATCACCCTCCCCCCCCCAGAATAATAACTCATGAAGCTTGGCACAGCATGATGACCTCTTACCATGAATTAAGCAACACAAACATTTATAGATTGTGAGTCTCTGTGTGTGACTTAAATCATCTTTTGATATCTGTGTACTAGTTCACTTTCCCAGTACCAGTTTATGGGGAGGGGAAAAAAAAAGATATAAAACGTGTATTTGCAATGAAACTCCTACTTCCAATGTCAACATTGTCAAACTCTGAAAATGGCAGACAGCATTATCTGCTAGCAGGTTAGAGAGAGTTTATATAAAAACATGACTGACTGCTTTCCTCCAGATTAGAGTCAGAAAGCAGCCACCTATTTAAGAAACTGAACTTTGGAAGTTTACCTCTGCATCGTATCTGACAGCAGCAGAGAGCAATGAAAAAGCATTTTCCACAGTAATTCCTCTCTTGATAATATGTTGACACAGTTTTTTCAGTCTATTTTCACAGTACGAAGTAGCCAAATCCAGAAGTCCTGCAATTACAATGCCATCATATTAGTCACGTGTAATTATTTCTGCCTTTTCAACAATTCATATCTCTGGGTACAGGTTTTGTCTCTATTCTGTGTGCAGTAACATGTTTTTTGCAAGTAGGTCACTATTCAGAAGTGAATTTCATCACCACATGGGAAGAAAGGCCTTCTAGTACCGCACGCCACAATCCTGTTAACCTCTGTAAGCACACAAGCTGTTCCACTGCTTTGCATACCTAAGTGTTTG